GCAGATGGGGTGGTGGTTGAGAGGGGGTGATGTGTGTGGGAGCTGGGTGCAGGGGTTGGAGGCAAGGGGGTGGGGGAGGGGAGTTGGCTGGGTGGATTAAGTGGATACGTGGCTTGGATCCTTTAGCCTAGGCCACGTGGGGGAAGGGGAAAGGGTGATAGGTCGAAAAGGAGAAGGAAGTGCGTTCCTGGTTTTTGCCGCAGATACCCGGGGTAGAAAAGGCTGAGTATTGCCTGTTTCCAGAGTACTTTTATAGTGGGAATAGAAAGGGGCTCAGGTGTTGCTTTGCAGGAAGGATTTCAGGACAGAGTAAAGAAAGGGAACGAGGGCACAAGTCAGGAGCTCAATGCAAAAACTACAGGCACCAGTAAAGAGAAAGAGAAAACAGAGCACCACAAAAAAAAGTAAATTAAAGCAAGCCTGGGCGCAGGAATAAAAGCGAAATCCAGAAATAATGTGAAGCTATGAGTGAAGCAAAAAAAGCAAAAGCAAAAGAAAAAAACCGTCATCAGTAGAGTACTTCTCCATTTATGAAGCTGATGCTTAGGTAAAACCGAGAGGGAATAAGGTAAAGCTGCATAGGTAAAACTGAGAACTCTCAGCTTTACCTAAACATCAGCTTCATAAATGCGAAGCCCACTACTGCAGACGGGCTTTTATAAAGCAATTTCCACTCATAATTTTTTCCTTTTGCTAAGTTTTTTTATTTGTTTTTTGCTTCTGTTCCTTCAGTTTTTATCTGTTTTTGCTTTCTTTAGCCTTTTATGAGTTTTTTGCTGGGTAACAACAGTACAAAACGCATATTGTTACGGGGTTGTCTGTGTGTGTTTGTTTGTGTATGTGTCCGTAGCAACTTGTCCACAACTTTCAACTCGGGAACCACAAAAGCTAAGAAGCTAAAAATTTAGAGGAACGACCCCCCACCCACGTGCGACCTCGCAAGTTTAAATTTGGCCTTCCCGTGCCCGCGGGTAATACGTGGCCGGGTAGAATTATTGTCACGGAAACCACGGAAGCTAGAAGGCTAAAAACCTCACGGAGCTTATTCGCTCTCAGCTTCACGTAAGCATCAGTTTCATAAATAGGAAAGTCTGATGACGGGTTTTTGTGGGACAACTTTACCTAAGCATCAGTTTCATAAATAAAAAGGCCTAATGATGGGTTTTTGTGGAACAGCTTTACCTAAGCATCAGTTTCATAAAAGGAAGTCTCAGGAGCACACTTCTTCATCCTTCCTGTTCTTCACCGCTCCCCTCTCCCTTCAAATGTACGCTACTTAATCAATCGGCAAAGGATCTACGCCACTTAGTCCTTATATCTACCTACCCTAGCTCCCCTCCCCTGCCTCGAACGAAACCCGCCACATACCACCCCCGCTTTTACCTGCTACATTCAAACTGCCGCCATCCGCCATGGGCGACCCTACCTGCTGTCGGCCGAAAAAATTTTTTGCGGCTTGTGTATGAGCCGATCCGAGTTTTTATTGTAATTGTCGTGTTGTGGGGGTTGCGGTGGGGCGGTGAGGGTTGGCGGTGAAAGTGTTTTGGGCGACGAGGTACTCCTGGACTGTAGGGTCCATACTTTTCTCCACTGTTGCAGTCGTACGAAGAATGTTGCTATTCACTCAATTTTTTCAGGTTGATGGGAAGAACAATGATAGCTCAAGAGGTTACGCCAAGTTCCACTGTAAGTTCCTCAGATTTCTGTGGATCTTTCGAAAATCGCTGGTCAGTGAGCGATGTTGGTATGCTTTGTCCCTCTGAATTTGCTAAGAGAATCTTGTTGCGCTAATGCAACGTTTTGCTGCTGCTGCTGCTGCGCAGATTGCTTCCCTCTTATTCCGTGCGGCTGCTTTGCCTGTGCTGAGATGGTTTTTGCCCACATAATGGCGCTGTGACTGCTCGTCGTGATGGCATATATATATATATATATGTATATATATATACATATATATGTATATATATACATATGTATATATATATATATGTATATATATATGAATGCGTATGGGGGTGTGACGCTTGAAAACCGCATTATGCGGGCGGGCCTCCTCTCTCAGTGCTAGCGCGCTGATGTGAGTTGTTGCTGCTGCTGCTCGATAGTAATGAAATGTTGTTGGTTCCAGAGCTAGTGAGAGTAAAAAATCAATTTCTGGTATTCTTCGTATTCATTCTGTATTGAGTTTGAGAGTTTTTTTTTTTTTTTTTTTGTTTAGCCGAGACTGTCATGCGGGAATGATTTTGTAAGATTCAGGATCGACGCTCAACAACTTCCTCAGGAGGAGGACGGCTGAAGGAATTCGGTGTGTGGACCGAGCACTACAGTTCCACCGGAAAGCGATATTTCTATAATCGCGAGACCGAGGTGTCCCAATGGGAAAAACCACCGGAATGGCGTGAATACGAAAAGCGCTTAGCTGAAAATCTGGCTGCTAATCAGAGTCCCATCTCCTCATCATGTTTGTTTCCATTTTAAATTTAGCACTAAAAACGCCCATGTGCACTAAAGTGTGTGTGTATGTGTGTATGTGTGCGTGTGCGTGTGTGGCAACACTGAGATTGCTGGACAGTGTCCATCATCTGGAAATACTGATGCTGTTGCTGGGATACAACCGTACACACTGAGCTGTAACCTCTTGCAGTTGTAAGGATCTAAGAAAGATACAGTTGATTTCCGTTGCGCATTGAGTGCCGAGGGTGCCTAGCGGCTTTTCACCCTCTGAGTTGCAAATTTGTTGCTGCTGATCGCTATACAGGCTGG